ATAAGCACTTGGAAAAGTGTAATCCTGGTCATTATTTTATTTATATTTATTAAATCTCATTCCTATTGAGGACTGCTAAAGTAGGAGGATTATCTCAATGTGATTTCATCTCAAGAAAAAACCCTGAGCTGTTCTTCTCACTGTCTTTAGCAGTCCTGTGTCCCCACAACAGCAAGCACAGGGTCAAACCTATTTTCTTCTAAATCCCTACTCAGGATATGGAATTCTAAGTCCAAATTTATCTCAGATGTGTAATGAGGATGTCTCTCAGTATGGGAGTTTTTTGTAGACCAGACTGCTGCCCCAGAACCACAACTCATATTTTTCATTGGAATTCACTGCTAAACCAAGAACAGGAGGCCTGAGGATAAGAATATAATTCCTTATTACAGTCGTTCTGAACAGCAGCTACAGTAATTTGTCTACTGTATCTAGATTTAACTTCTCCTTTTGACAAAGATTACATACAATAACATCATGAAATGTTAACAAAACAGAGAAAATGGAAATGAATAGCCTATTTTGCATAGCTCCCAGAGCCAATCACTCAAGTAAGGACTGTTTTACAAGCAGCAAGAACAAGAAGCCTGAGGCACAGCACACTGTGTCGTAAGGAAATAATGGATTTTCTGGAGTTACTGAACCTTGATTCAGAGGTACTCTTGCACTCATGTGCAATGTTAGTCCCATCAGGCAATTAAACTTGCAGCTCTGTCTGAGCAGGCAGCGACACAGAGCAGATTGCCAGGCCATTGTTTAATGTGAGACACCACCACACTGCACTGCTATGTGGATGGCCTGTAAGGTACAGTCTGCCTTCTCCCTGAGCTGTGCAGCCAACCTCCCTCATCCCCTGGAAAGCTCACAAAGCACTCTCATCCTCTCTGTAAAGCTCTGCTCTCACAACCCTCCTCAATATCACTAGAAGCTGATTATACTCAGAATATCTCAGGAGGCTTTCACCAAATTTCTTGCCTTCCAGATCAAAAAAAATACATCACACATAACCTTGGAGTAAATAAAATTCTTTGTCTGCTCTTTCTGATTCCTTTGGTGCATGCTAACTGTGATTTATGAATGCACTTTGTTCTTATGTTTCTTTCCCTCAAGAGATTTCTGTAATTCATATTTGTAGAATTCTCTGTTGCTTTGTACTGCAAATACATATTCTCACTATCAGTTTAGTTTATGATCTAACAGTAACATCAGTCTCTTATATATGCAACCCAGATACTGGCTAACTTGAAAAAAATGAATATCTGTATGTCCTTCCTTATCTCTCTTTTACTCACATCTTTTTTTCCTGCTAGCAATGCAGTAAAAAGAGGTTCATGAGAAAAAACCCCTAAAAGTTTAGATAAAAATAATGTGTTATTTCTTCTTCATAATTTATTTGATTAAAGACACTGAACTTTCCTTATATCAAAACCCACACACACAAACCAACCTAGAAGTAGAGCTCAGTGCCTGTAAAAGGCAGAATGCCTAATTAAATACATAACATTTTTTGCCTCTGCTCATTAGTAGATACAGTTTGAGAAATTTCAACCATTACAAACATAACAGCATGCTTGGGACTTATCTCCAAAAGAGTGAATTAACCATGGTTTAGCCCCTACACCCACCAGTGTGATCTGCAAAGCCTCTCCTTAGCTATTGAACAATCCACATGCAGCAATTTCCAGCAGGAAAGTTCATTGCACTGTGCAACATCATCTTTTGGCCATGTACTAAGGAACCTTCTTCAATACAGTACTGGGCAGTTTCAGTATCCATCTCATGGCTCAGATTCATTATAAACCCTAATTTGGACACTTCTTTGAATGCCTCATCTGTGGGAGCTGATTTTAAAAAGTATATTGCAAATAATGTGTAAATGGCTATAAACAGTGTCCTGCATAATCAAAAGCTGAGTATAGCTTAGAAGTCATTAATAGCCCTAGCTTCAGGCATATCTTTAGGAATATTTAATTACCTTTGCTAGAAACACTGAGGAAAAACATGCAGACTTGTTTTTATCATTTTTTACTCTACTAAAAGGGTTAAATCACTTAGGTTAAATTGCTCACTTGGAGAAGGGGAAAACCATGTTCAAAATCTTAACCTCCAGGAAATGAAATTCACTTCTCTCAGAACACAGCCAAAACATCAAGTGAAGGTGAAAAAGGGGAGAGGCTATTACCTATTATTTCAAAGCTATTTTATTTTGCATGGAAAAATCTAAAGATCTATATAGGCAAGAAGCATAACTGAAAAATACCCAATGCCCATTGTATTAAAATTGCTGTCATATAAAGCAGATATGCAGTAAGGAGAGCAGAGACTGGAACCCTGGTCATTCTCTTTTCAAAGGGAATGAGCTATGGTAGAGTTTCTTCATAACATTTATTTGTAGCATGCCAGAAAAAACATATAATTGGCACAGAGCCTCTCTGCTGTCAAAATATGTTTTTACATTAAACAGATTTAAATTTTCAAAGCCACATTTGGCTCTTAAATCTATCAGTGTCTGCCCATATGTTTTTTTCCCTATAATTAAATTTACTTTATTTTATTCTCACTAGCCACCTGCAAAAAAGTTGCTGGGATTATGTCTCAATGTTGTCAGTAAAGACCTTAAAGGATATAGCTGTTTTAGGGTGATACTAAAGGGTGGCTGGTGATCCAGAGAGAAGTACTCTGTTATGTCAGGATGCTCATTAAACAAACTCAATATATTCCAACATAATTGTAGGAAATGAAATCCTCTATACCAGTGACAGCTGTTCTGCACTAGCCAGGTTAAAGGGAGTAAGAATCCTTTCCTGCCCAAGTTGTGTTGTTTTGAAACACAAAGCTGGAGGGGGAAGGAAGCTCTCCCACAGGTATTGCACTGCTCTGTGCTGATTTCTGTTAAAACATGAGGACTTTCAGAACATAGCTGTGAGCAAGCTGTTACAGGGTGGTAATCTTTTGTCTTTTACATGTAGCCTCTCACAGGGAAAGGATGTCTTTTGATCCATGGGGTTACTCCCTGACCATCCCACAAAGCATTTCTGCAAATGGTGGGCTCCTCACAGTATCATCAATTCCCTTCCCCTGCAACTTCCAGGACTGGGATCTCCCTGGGAAAAGGAAGCCATCAAGAGGAAACAATGCAACTGATATACAAAATATGCATTTGAAATGGATTTAAAAGCTAAATGCCATGATGGTTTTATATGTGCATGTATAGGATGTTTGGTTTTGACATGTTAAGGCAGCTTGGCCACCGTAGGAGTAAGAACAGGTTTGTGTCAGGGTCCAGATGAAGGCTCAGCTTGCTGCCCTCGTGTTCTGCAGAGGAACACCCAGAGTTCTGTATTTCACACAGGGATTGCCTGCAGCTGATGGAGAGAGCAAGCCAAATCCTGCTCTCAGTTAGCTGAGGTAAATAGAGAGGCTTTCCTGGAGCCAGCCCAGGCCTGCTGGGCGCTCAGCTCTCTGCTGAGCACACGGGCAATGCCTCATCCCTCTTACTGACCCCACCACAGTTCAGTGGCTGCAGCATTTTCTTCTACTTTCATTCTACACTAGAGCAGAATTTGGTCTTCTGACATATTTCTTTTCTGAGTGTACAGGTTTTTTCTCTACATTATAAAAACCTGTGTGAGAGACTTCAGTTTATTTGAATAAAGCAAAATTTTGAATAAAGTTAACTAGACTGAAGGGGGAAAAAAGGCTGCTAAATATTTTAAATTTTTTTTGTTTTTTTTTCAAAAAGCATTTAATTTGAAACTACATATATATTTATCTATTCTGTAGATATGTTTATCTTGACTTTGGGCCCTCAATCTAGCAGAAAACTGAATATTACGCTGTGTGTCTTAAAAATATCTGCCCTAGGATCGGTAATGCAGTTATAAAAGCACAAGCCTCAGTGAGAATGACAGTCCAGAGGAAATGGTCATACACGTGCAATCAGCCTGTATTAAATACACTGTCAGCATTCAAATTAGACACTTCAGGTCTGTTTCATATGAAATTATATCACTGACTGCAGTATATCTATGGATGTGTCAACATAGAAAAGTTCCTTCACCCTTATCTCTACTAAAGGGGAAAAAAAAAAAGGAATGAAAAAAAGAAAAGCTTCTTAAAATCTGTTATCCCATAATCACTCCTTTTTCCCAGAATGCCCTTCTGGAAGGGAACCTTTTAAATCCAATAGCTAATTCTTCTAGAAACCTTTCTGACTACATCATCTTGCCTTCAGTTGTGAGTACCCTTTGTTTTTATGATCTCACTGAGTTTGCTCTTTCTGTTATTGCAGTTCTCATAGACAACTGATCCTGGGAGAAAAATGTGGTGGATGCACAGGGCTTGAAAAAGACTGTCTTGCTTTGAGCAAGATCAGGTCTGTAGAATTTTGTGGGCTGCTTTCGAGACGGAGTTTACTTTGGGGCCCAAATGTTATGGGATTTACTGCTCTTCTAAATCTGTATGGTGTCAGCTAGATGTAAATAGTTTTCTTGAGCAGATTGTTGCAGGGTGATTCCTAGATGTTTATTTTATTCCTAGTCACTTTCTTTTTTCTTTTGTTGGTTTTTACTTGGAAAACCTAGTAAGTTAATATTTACAAAACAGGAAGGAGGGTCTTCAGTTTGCTCTTTGGTTGTTTAAGGCTGAAGACCTTGATAAGAAATTTGAGCCTTTTAACTTCTTTATCTTTTATTCATTTGTTCAACAGAAGTTTTATGTCTGGTGCTTACCTTGGTCTGCTGTGATTCACAGATCATGTAAATCTGGAGGAGCCCTATCATCAGGAACAAGTTCTTAGCTTATCTGGGCAGAAGCAGGAGATTATTTTTGGATCAGTTGTTTTCCTGAGACTGGGAATGTGAGGGGGTGGCCACAGTGGCTGTGAATGCACCAGTAGCATGTGCAGTCAGCCTAACTGTTTCCATATTGCTCAGTAGGGACTTTTCAGTGAAAAGTAATATTTTATGTTTTGTTTTTTTCCTTTCTAGAAAACCTCCTTATGGTTAACTCCAACTTGAATAAGGAAGTGTGTGAAGGACAGGTCCAAGCTGTTGTTCCTCTTCAAGATGTAGTAGCTATCAATATTTTCTTCATGCTATATAAAACCAGGTAAACTTTGATTTTTCTTTTCTGTTAGCTTGTCCTCCAAAAAAGAGTCAGCAAAACTTATCAACCATGATTTTAGTACTTTGAAAGTACTCAGATGTTGTAACTTTAACTGCTATTTATCAACAAATGTGGAAAAATTACTCCATGGTGGGTAAGGTGTTGCCTTGGTATGGGCACCTCTTAGACTGACTCCCTTATTCAATTATGGATTCAGAGGTTTTGCAAAATGTCATTCAGATTGTTATTTCTCTAAAAATGGAAGTCATGGTGGTAGTAAAACTGGTTTTGAAACAGGAAGGCCACAATGATAAATAGATAAACATATGCTGTGAGACAGCATTCACAATTTAGCATGAGATTTACAGAGTGAAATTTGCAAGCAATTCTGGCACAGATTTTGATACTAGAAAGACTTCCTCTCTTTTACGGGTACCAAAATCTATCCTTCATTTATGTTTTTTCCCCCCAAAGCTTCCACCAACACAGATTTCAGTAAGGTAAGAGATGCCAAGTTTATGTATAGGCTAATTACCCATCTCCCAAATGGCTCACTTATGGTCTGTACCCTTGCACTACAGTGATCCCACAATCATCTGGCCAATGCACACGTTCATTCCATTGAACACTGTCCCACAAATTCTGCAGACTTGCTGGGAACTACAGCTGCCTGAACACACTGCCTACAGCATTGCTCAGGAGAAGTATCATGGATAACAGTCTAATGGTTTTCCTTAAATATCTTGCCAAATAAACATCTCCCCAGAAAATCATATTGCAAATTTAAATAAACACTACAAATAAATGAAGTATTTTCATTTTCTGGAATCAGAACAATGTCTTTGATAAATAGACACAATCTGGTTACATAATCTGCTTCAGGTTAAGATCACTTTAATATTGTTTTGCATTCTCTACTTCAGCTGCCTGTTCCTATATGATGCTTATTATCAGAAAAGCAAGCAATTACCGAGACAATCTCGTCCTCTGCCGGTACAGTTGCTGCTGATAGTGCTGCTGCCAGTGCTGCTGCCCTGGCTGCCTTCCTCATTGCTCTCTGAGCCTGGAGATTGGTGAAGTAGTTGACAGCTGCAAACTCAATGAGTGCAGAGAAGACAAAGGCAAAGCACACGGCGATGAACCAGTCCATGGCGGTGGCGTAGGACACCTTGGGCAGGGAGTGGCGAGCGCTGATGCTCAGGGTGGTCATGGTGAGCACTGTGGTGATTCCTTGGAAACAGGAGAAAGAATGGGGGGCATCAGAACTTGGCTTCAGCCCTGATACTCTTAAATTCACATATATGAAAAAAACCAAAGCACAGCACCCTTTTTGATTTTAGCTGTCATCCTACTCCCCAGCAAGACTCCTAAGTATTTTGTATCCTTAAATAGCTCATGTGTACTGGATTCAGCATCTAAAAGGTCTTTAAAAATTTCCTTAATGCACTGGTGAGACTGAAAGATAACAACATTCTACATGGGACAGCTTCTTAGAATTGGATAAACATGGCTATAACAAAATCCAGGCTCAAAATCTGAAGGAGGTTTTCCTTCGTGGGTTGGTAAGTAGAATGTCTGGCAGAAACCTGGATTCACATATTGTCATTCCCCAACAGTGATCCTCTCTTTCTCCAGTTGTAGTACAAGACATGGCTTACAGAACCCTCACTAAATCAGTCAAATTGTACATTAAAAACAGTCAGAGCCTGATCTAAACATTTCAAGTAATAATGCTTTGGTCCCCTGAGCTGTTGTCTTTAATCACTGGATACATTTTTTAGGATTCACTAAGAGTATCTTGATTTGAAAGCTCCCCTAGCTACAGATAGGGAAAGACAGAAAAGCTACTGCTTATCTATTTTCACGGAGCAAATCTGGTCATGTAGCTCATGGGCCCCATGGTGTTCTTCACATGAATTCATGAATTTATTCTTTCTGTGTTGGAGTGTACAGCATTAATAATGTAGGAAATATACTTACTTCCTACTGCTGCCTGATACAAGCAGAAAATGCAAGAACAAACTCAATCATTTACATACAAGCCTCTGTGACTCATATTTACTTATAATTACGCCTGCTAGAATGTAAAAACTGTGGGTATTTAAAGACAGTGAGGTGGAGAATATCCTCTTCTATTTTCTGCAGTTGGGAAAGGGTAGGTGGCAAAGTGAAAGATGTTTTAATGTCATATTGTGATGGTCATGTTGAGTTGATGAAGCAGTATGCTATGAGGGATGCTCGGAGGAAAGGATGCAGTGTCATAGCATATTGCAGCATCCAGAAAGGGTGACATTATTTTCAGTTTCTCTGCAACTCTTTCACATGATGTGGCTTGCCAGCTGTCTGAGGTTAACTACATCCCAATGTCATTACTTATCACATTTTAATGAAATACAAACAGGAGATGGTATAGAAATATGTAGCATTCCTACTTCTCCCAAATCTGCCAGACTATTTTATTATATGAATACAACTATGCTGAGATGCATTTCCATTTCAAAGGTCCAGAATGAACTTTTTGAAATGATGTGTGATTAGATTAGAATCTGTCCATGTGCTAGTTAGTAATAAAATAGATATATTCTGTGTCTGAATAAAAACTTACTGCAGCAGGAATTTAACTTAGGAATAGGTCTCCTATTCTTTTACAGATATAGATAAGAATTCTCTCCATGTGGAATGAATATTGATGAAATGCTTTTCACTGTGGAAAGCTACTTCATCAAACTGAATACCAAATTGCAGTTGGTAAACTGCAACTGCTGATTGTTTACCCTTGTCTTTACATTTTGAACACTTCTTGGTAAGTTTTGAAGAATGCATTACATAATGCAAACACTGAAATCTGATAACTGGCATCCATTTTGGAGGTAAACAAAGTCCTTGAATTATTTTGTGCTGAAAAACTGGTTTAGGCACATCATTATTCTTCTACTATTAATATCTCTTCCCTCAAACTTAGCTTTCAGACTTACAAGTACAAGTGAAAATTTATAATTCAAGTAGTTGCAAGATGATGCATTTTAAACCTTCACCATTTTAAAATTTTCTTTTTCAGTGAAAAAGAGCAGAAGTCTTTTTTTGTCATAAAGAGTTTTCCCTTTTTTCCTTAGATTAAAGTATTCAGAATCCATGGGATTTTGAACGAGTCTGGACTTCAAATTCAGACTATGCCCTGGGAGAAATACAAATGGAATAAGGATTGAAATATTCTTTTTAAATGCTAACATCACTACTTTCCACAGAGGTGGAGAGTTGCTTATTTTACTCTTTTCGTAAAATGTTTTCTCAAGTCCATGTCACCCTTCAGTGCAACACCTAGGAGCTGTTATTCCAGTGTTTGGGGTATTTATATAATTATTACCAAATCAGCTACAGAACTACTTGCACATATCTTCAGGCATGTACAGTTACCTTCCATGCCCACTATGTTGCAAGCATGTTTTACTCAAAATGTAGAGGATGTAACTCTACAATCCAGAGATTAACATGAAGACAAATCAGGTAGCATCATATCTGGAGTATAAACCATATCATATCATATCTGGAGTATAAACCTCAGATATGTATGAACCAGGAGACTCAAAGCTTTAGGCATTAATTCAAACCACTGGAAAGAAAGAAAAAGGCCCTGCCATGCAGTATGGATACATCTTTCTCATTCTAACTTCAACCTGTGCTGGGGACATTACTCATCTCACTGATCTTTATCCATCTAAAGCCCTTGTTTGTTGTTTAGATACCTTTGTAATCAAGGGGAAGAGAGCACTCCAGGATGAGTGTTAGATGGGGTACCTTATGTCAGATAATAACTCCATTCCATTCTATTTTTTTTTCTTTTAAAGCTTTAACTCATATTGGTTTCATGAGACAGTAAATCCATAGGAAAAAAATCCTCTTGAAAAAATGACATTTGCTTTGAAATTGTCCCTTTCTGCATACAAAATACAATTGGAATACAATTAAAAACTGTCACAAACAAGTCTGGCTACCCAAACATTCTGAGTCAAGAATTTTGACCCTCATAGGCAAATTGACTACCATTTCACTTTAGTATTTGCTTTTGCTGACTGAAACCTACTAGCTGCCTTTCCTAATCCCCCCTGGCTTGCAGTATCCGATTGATAGAACAGATTCAATACAATGAATGAAATGAATGACAAAAGGAAAAACACAAATACCAGCCACGGTTCTTGCTGGAACAGATTCTTTGTTAATCCAAAACACAACTTGAGACAAGACGACAGTCATGATGCATGGAATGTATGTCTGAATGAGATAGTAGCCTATTTTCCTTTGCAGATGGAAATAGAGCAGCTGGAGTGAATATTCCCCTAAAACAAACAAGTAATGAAAGGAATGAATGAATGAATGATAGATGCTGAGCTCAAAGACTTTAACACAGCATACCAAAAACTGTCCTGGCTGGAACAGACTCCTTGTTAATCCAGAAAGACACCTGAGAAAGAATGACTGTCATAATGCAAGGAGTGTATATCTGTATCATGAAGTAGCCCATCTTCCTTTGCAAGTGGAAATAAACTGTCATGATTACATATTCACCTGTTAAGAGACAAGTATGTCAGCATTATTCTGGCAACATGTGAGTGAACATTATTGGCTTAAACCCAACATAATATGTTCAGATGAAATCACAGACCTCTTAGTGCATAATAAAAATAAGCTGCTTAAAAAAAGGTAAAGTGACCTTATGGAAACAGAGCAGAATAATATTCATTTTATGCACTGTTTTTACTAGGGTGGAGAGGTAGTGGGAATTCTTACGAATATCATGAAAAAATTTTGTGTTTGATGGGAGGACTGTATTGAAAAGCTGTCTTTTAGGAGACAATGGTTAGAGTCTTTATAATTATTTTTTCAAATGGCAAAAGATCAATTAATTCATTCTATATTTAAAAACCCTGTAATTTATTATCAAGATGTTGCACAACACCAGTAGTTTCCACATGGCTCCACCTTACCTGTGTTAGATTTAATTGTTTCACTAGATACAGTTTGTCCTATGAGGTCGTACTGGAGAAGACTGGACGACTCCTGAGGTACTTCTACTGAATGCAATGGTCCTTTTTTCCAAGTATAAATTATTTCACTTTTTGGATAAGCATCTGAGTAACAGAAGGGAAAATTACCATTACTAATTATGTATTTTATAAGCAATTGAAAAAATAAATAGAATAATCCCTTTTGCAGCTCAAATGCCCACAGAAACATGCATCCTACTCCAGGAAGTTCCTAACCTCATTAATTACAAAATGAAAAAAACAGCAACAATAAGAGAATGGCTGAGGTGGGACCTGAGAGGAACTAGCTGTCACTTCTCAATTTGCTATAAAACATACATATTGATTACCCCAGCTCAACTAAGTATTTTCAAAATTATATTACCACAATATTTCAAAATTGATCACCACATATTTTCAAAATTATAAGTAATATATTAAATGTAGCAGAGGTTTTAATATTTGTTGAAGGACCAACTTTGACTACCAGAAGTGTAAGAATAATAAATAATAAAACATGTTTCAGCAGTCACACTTCAGTGGATAAATCCATGTCCATATGAATGGTCTGAGTCTCAGAGAAAAAAGTAAAATTCTAGTATAAAAATACAACTTAAAATTTCAACCATATCACTAAGTAATATCTTAGGATCTTCTGACCAAATGTGTTACTTTAAAACTGAAAGATACAGAAAAACTTACAGCTTCCAAATTTCAGCGGACAAGCATGTCCATCCATTGGGAAATTCACCAACCTCATAGGACAGTCAGCATTAATGGTTAGTCTAGAACACACAGTTGTAGATAATGAAAAAATATGGTATGTAGGAAATGCTGATAGCATCAAAAATACAGGTCAACAAAAGCAGGGCAAGCTCTCACCTCATAGTGTAAAGAATAGTTCCATTCTGCATAATTCTGAAAAGTTTGTTAGGAGTTGTCATATTGTGAGCAATTGATTTTTTTCCATTTCTAAAAAACGTGTCTGGTGTCCAAATTTTACTGACCATTAAATTGTTCAGTCTCAATATTTCGGTTGGCCCACTAAACTTCAGCCTCTCATCAGTCCATGTCTGACGAAAGAAGACATCCATTGTGTATTCCTGTGGGAAATAAATAGGGTCTGACATCTGTGTGGGGGTCAGCAGTCCCAAGTGGCTGTGGGGACAGTAACTCCATGAGACAATTTAACACACATGTCAATGGCATT